GGCGGGGGCGCAGCGGTCGCGGCCGGCGCGGCGGCTGCGCTGCTGGCCACCGGGGGCGAGGACGGTGGCTCCGGTTCCGCCTCGCTAGCAATGCTAGTCCCTGCAGTAAGCAATCAACGATTATACCAAACACCTAATTTTAACATATCATCATCAGGTTTAAAGTAAAAGTAATTATAGAATATGAAGACCAAGTTCAAGAGTACCGTGCAACGCCTGCACGAGATCGCGGTGATGGTGCAAGGCTAGCGGATGGCCGTTGAGATGCGGCGGGGCCGGGGGCGCGGGGGGCGCGGGGAAGGCGCCCGGGAAGGCGGCGGCGGCCGGCGGCGGCGGGAAGTACGCGCCGCCAGTGCCCGTGCCCGGGGACTCCTCTTCCTCCCCCTCAGATCGACCTGAGCCGGAACCCTCTTCGTCCGAGAAAACGATATCCTACAAAAAAATAATTATAAAATAAACATGATTATGCCAAAAACACAACACACATTACAAAAACTAGATAGATGTAGGTAGAGTTTCACACCTGATAACGGAAGATATCGTTATGGACGTAGTATTTTTTGGGTGATTGCGCGGCCAGGACGAAGGTCTGGGTGAAACGGCGCATGGGGGCGCCACCGTTGGACAGCTCCCCGGTTACTTGCACCACCACTCCATTTCCCAAAGTGGCTTGCGCGTCCACCTGTCGACATAAGCTGATGTTAGAGAGAGCTGCGCTAACATAAACACGAGCGTGTTGACTGTTGAGGCCACACAGACGATGCAGTACCTGACTGATCTTGGCATGGCAGTCTCGGAAGTTGAGCTGTTGGATGCGGTTGTGAATCTGTTTCTGCCCAACCACCGGCAGCGTCTCACGGTTGGGTGCATCCAACCCTCCGTGGACGAACGACGAGTAATTGTTGTAAAATCTGCAACAAGCACATGAACTGTGTCACTCTCGACAATACATTAAGTTGTAAAACAATCATGTGGTTCAAAGTGTCTAATGTATCTAATAGTCAAACTTGAAAATTGCTAGCTGTGTTTAAAAACTTGGCTATACATTTTTACTTTGTGGGTATACTGTTTGGGATAAATGAAACATCACGATACTATCAATACGAGTGTAACCGCGCGAGTAAATAGTAATTCATATAAATATAAAATAATCCTAATTTTTCCTGTGTACACACATAGTTATCTAGCTGTATAAAGTGTATAACTAACATCTAGAAGTGGAGTAGGGCTTTGATCTTTGATCTGTAACAGAAAGACCAGGCGATAACGTCATTAACGGTCGGAAATACTGTTTAATAGCACTAGAATGAAGCCCATTGCAAAGGGAAGAGAATGTGCCCAAACAATATGGCCAAAATAAATTACGGATGAACTGAGCTTAGTAATAAAATAGGTGGGCGTTAGAAGACAAAAATTCAGTTTATCGAGGTTTGCTGAAGAAGAAGATCTACAGAAAAGAGTTCAATAGCAAAGAATAATTCTCAAAAGTTGCAATAGGTTCTTTCTTATATAGGATTACGAGGAAATGAGGGGGCTGACAGATTGGCCATACTAGCGACTATAGAGGGAACATACTTTGTTTTGCCCTTTTTATACTAAAGTATTACCAAACTGTAAAAACTGTAAAATCTATGACTTTCAAAAAATATTTTGATGAAAAAGCAAGGAAAAAGGTATCTGGTTTAAAAGTCTCCAATGTCAGCCCCTCATTTTCCATGATTTTATGCTGAATGTAAATTAAATAGGATAGGTATTGCAACATTACTCCGACTGCGAGCTGGACATTATCCCACAAAATGTTTAGCATTAGTTATGAAAAAAGTAAATTCACCTAACTGTGAAGTATGTGGCAAGTTAAATGATGTTTATCATATTATGCTGGTGGAGTGTGTTAAATTGAAGGTGGCGAGGGACTAACTGATGCAACATTTAATATAAAAAAATATGACGCAACATTTAATATAAAAAAATATGACTTGGGATCCTTTTCTAGTAGTTTGTCAGAGCCTTTAAGCAATGCAGCACGATTTATTGTAATAGTGATGTAAATGTTGCAACAGTGATGACCTGCTGATATTTAATATTTTTAATTAATTTTTAATAAATGTTTTAGATAAATATGTTTGAGTTACGATGGGGCTGTACGTCAGGCCTATTGGTTAAAAGCCCCTAAAATAAAAAACAATAATAATAAATATATTTTATAAGGTACTTTTATGTTTAGACTTTTTATAAATATCATCAAAATAAAAGTACTGGTTTATTGGTTTTTTCTATTTTTTTTCCCAAAGTTTGTGGTGACATTCTATTTTATGTTCCTGTACCTCTTTTATTTACCTTATTTTATTGAAAAAGTACCCTAGTTGTCAGCTGAAAAATTTCACATAAAAATTTCAGTACAGAAACAACTGGTGCGCGCTTCTTTTTTGTTGAAATGTCTATTTTTGGATAGTGTAAAAATAAATTATGTTTTTATTGCATCTGCATAGAAAATGCAAAAAACCGATTTTATTACAGCCCTATGTAAATATTAAGTTATTTATTTAAGTTCCAATCCCTAAATAAATCATAAAAAAAGTTTCAATTGCGGTAAACTGAATATTTAGCTTCTAACGCCCACCCATCTTTTCCCCAACCTCAGTTCGCCCGTGATTAATGTTTCCGTATATTTTGGGCACATTCTCTTTCCTTTGCAATGGGTTTCATTGTACTACTATTTAATGTTGTTTCAAACATTATATGCCGGAGCCTATGTTTTTACTAAGCTGTCTTTCATTTAAGAAGGGACATTTATGACTTTTTTTATGTTACATAAATTGTAAAAAATCTCTTAAACTAAATCATATATAAGTATTTTGATATGATTATATTATTGGTTGATGTGATCGAGCGGTGTCTTTAAATTATAATATCTTCTAAACTACTAATTTGATGTACACTGTACATCAAATTAGTAGTTTACCTGTACATTTACAGGACAATTTTAATCTCTGTATTAAATAAAATCTATATTAAATAAAAAATGTAATGATCTCTAATATGCATGATGGTTTTACATGAAAACTTTCCTTTTGACTCCGCATTTGTGTGTGTGTCGCCAGTACTTGAACTGGGTTTGGCGCGCTACCGCTACTTAACTTCTAGAGCAGCCTCTGATAAAGGATTTGGTTTAGGAGAGGAAGATAATTTTAAGGAAGATAGTTTTTATTCCAGAGAAACTAGACGAGGCTACTGATGTGGTCTAAATTGCAAAGAATAGTTTTTAATACCTAATATATATAAAAATGAAACCCATTACCCGTTGTCACGCCATAACTTGAGAACGGCTAGACCGATTTGGCTGATGTTTTGTTTGTTGTATTTGTTGTTGTCAGGAGGTTCTTATGACAGAAAAATTCTTGAAAATCCTACGGGAACGGGAAAAAAGGAGATTGCGCGTACGAAGTCGCAGGCAGAAGCTAGTACCAAATAAATGTCTTTTAATTTTGGCATGTTGATATCCACTGCTGTGTTAGTTTTGTAGTTAATAGTAAACACATTGGATGCCTTGTCGGACAATGATGTCGGACGCTAGCGGAGGATTAGCCTTTAACAGTTTTTGTCGGCAGTTAAAGGCTTAACTGAGTACCATACTAGACGAACTTGATTAACATCAATATCCTAAAAAATATATTGAATAAAAAATAAAAGCCAACAACCTGACGAATAACGAACAAACACAAGTTATTGTTGTGCTGTTGCATCTACGTAACTTAAGCCATCTGTTACACATAGTTTGTAACAATAAGCTACAAGAAACACCACGTGGTGCTCCGTGCTCGCGTAACTTCTGTCTTTCGAACAGTGAGAGATTGATGGATATGGTGTGTGCCTGCCTGGTGTATGGCAACAGTTTCTCCTGCTTACATAGACTAGCTAGATAACACACGATAGGTAAGACTAAGCAGTACTGACACTCAGTTTAATACCCGACAGATTACTACTGTGTGGGGCCTGATGTCATGTCTCGTGGTCATTTCAACTGCTACGTGAAATGGAAGGTTCAAGCGTCTCGTTAACTACCCGACTACAATACAACTTTAGTTGGTTCCATACACATGTAATTGAAAAAGCAAATAAATAATAAGTTATTTGTGTTTTAGATTTGAATGAATGTCTTGTGTAGTTGCCTTGCTTGACACAAGTACATAGGTATGTCGTCGAAAAACAGTTAAGGCAACCTGACGTGTTACTAACTAAGCAATTAAAATACTAAGCATCAAAAAAAAAGGTAAGTAATGGTTTCGACACAAAGTACGTAATTGTTACAATCCTATCTCCAATAACTGTTACTCGCTATTAGTGTATGGACCAAACAATTAGTAAGTACCTCGGGGTCCTTAATGATACCACATCAAATGTTTTGTAAATAGGTATTGAAATTAGTAACAACACAAGATAGTGAGCGTGGACTGGAGATAATATCCCTAATAATAATATAATTGTACTTAATTGTTAGTGATTAGACATTACTTTGTCATTGGCTAATAGGCTTCTGGTTTGTGCAGTACTAGTAAAGCATTTATAAAAAATATTACAGAAACTAAAGGAACACTTGTTCCTTTTGTATAGTTGGTATTACAATGAACTAAGAAGATAATCGGTACAGACACATACACCATTATATTCTTAACAACTGAATACAATTCTTCTTGAGTATTCATAAAGATATTTAAACAGTTTTTTTTCTTTAAAGATAAGTTAATTGAATTAATTTTTACCTGTGCAGATGGGCGGGCGCCTTATTTAATAGCGTGTAGTATTGTCGCACGAACTCGCGACCGACGCTCTGCGGTGACGGAGACGCCTCCATTACCATCGCTGTGTACAACGCCAATATAGCCCTCTGCTATACCCTGCCCTGCAATGCAAATAACAACTCTAGTATATCTGCTTCTACACACAACTACATTCTAAATTATTCTAGACCTATCCTTGAGGTATCTCACCAAGGGGCATATGCATATGGCAAGGTTAGGCAAGTGCATAGGGAACAAGATAATATGAGATATTCGTGTCACGGAATGCCACTCATGAATGTGAGCCTCTAGCATGGGTTGAAACTAGTCGAGTTCTCGTCAAAAAGTTACATGAGTAAGCCGAAAACATAATAATTAACTTAGTATGTCTCACGAAAGTTATAATACAATCCTTCTATTTTTAAGTTGGTTGAAAATTATACATACAATTTGATTTATAACATGCTTTTAGTTTCGATTAGCAAGGGGCCAAAACATCCTTGAGAGTATCTTTCGGAAATACTGTATGTGGAACAGTTTGAAATAATTAAAGTAGTAGGCCTCCCCTCCCCCTGATACTTGAGTCTCATCAGTGACCTTTAGTTTTATTTACGTATGAAGATTAAGCAAAGCTAAGTATTTTATACACAGACTAAAACACTAACCATTCCCATTAAAGTGCACTTTCAGCACAATTGCCTTCTAGAGCAGCACAAGAACACAAGGCAATGCTATTGTTAATTATTTCTAAATAAATATATAGAGGTATGCTGCTCAACCAAAGGATTGGACCCCAGCATGTATCTCTCTACTGTACTTTTGATTAGTAAATCAGAGGATGCAGCAAACATAACTGATAATATAGCAGTGGATTAAAACAAACACATTATTCATCCTATGTAATAGCAATGATACTGGCAGTCTCTGAAGTGGTTTTCAAAGTTACATTGTAAACAGACAAATATAACATACTTTATGTGAGTATTAACATAAACCTTACAGCTATGTTAACAGACCAAACTAAAGAAATACCTACTTAGAAAGATTGCTCATTTTCTATTACCACTTTCAGGGATTGACTCAAAATTTAAAAAATACTGTGAATTAACTAGTCACTCAATAATGTTTTGTTAAAATTTGATTGTTGCAATTTATGATAAGAACTGCAATGACTTGCCTGTAAAACAAGCAAGACAAAATACTTGCAGCATGGAACAGCTAGATGAAGTAAACAAGTAAAATATTGTGCGGCGATTATCCTAAGATGGGCCTATGAGACGAGTTCACAATGGCAAAATATTAATTTACCACTGCGAACACGAATACGATATAAAAGTGAATCGTATTGTCAAAGCACGCATGGCGACTCAGGCTTAGCTATCAGCTTCTTTTGTTACTGCACTGGACGATAAAAACACATTTAGGTTTTTTTCAACTGAATAAATTACAAAAATAATAACATTGACAACTACACCTTATGTTACAACAAGTATTACGATAATTTAATGCAAAAATTTAGGGATTTAACCTTTAAAAAGAGATACGTCTGCCGACAAACATACCACAAAGGTGCCATAGTTTTTAAATCAATAATAAAGCAGGTGTACTTACCTTAGTAATATTTAGGCATTAAAATAGCGTAGTCGGCAACAAACTATCAAGAAAACGGTGTAATTTTCACGATAAATAAGGACTGAAAACAGAAAAAGAGCCTACCTCACCGTTCGGGTGTCAATTTTGTCGAAAGTCGAAGTGTTGCTATACCTAAAATTATTATTTTCCAACCAAATTAGTAACTTAGTAAGGTTTATATAATTTCTACTAAACTTACTAAAAAATATTATACTATAAGGAAAATTCCAAAAAAAAAAAACGTATCTAAGGTCAATTAAAATCATTTATGAACAAATGATAAGAGGTTACAAATTCGCCATTATATAAGGCCAAAACCATATAACCAAACGAGGCGGAGCCTGCAATATTTTACAATTTTGTGTGGGCAAGCACAGAATTGTCATTTGCAATAATGATATGAAGAATACAGATAACAAATAAATTTACGAGAATTACAAGCAAACCCCTAAAACCTATAAGTTTTTTCAGGATTATTACACCACCACCGTGGTGATTTTATATATAAGATGACCAGTATAACTGACTGAAATCTGCAGAAATATCATACAAAGCGAAACCAGGATAAACTGGTCTGGTCTTTATATTATTTGATGATGGTGTCATCGAAAACTACGATTGAATTTGGAATAATACTATGTCTAATATGGTATACTCTACTTTGCCACATACAAATAATTTTAATCGATTTGAGATGTATTGGTCCACATATTCTTGGACATTGTTTTTTGATATAAAAAATTTCCGCCTTTTTTATTACTGTAATATTCATAACTATTCAAATGTAAAGTGTGTTCTAATTAAAATTTTTATAAGAAATTGTTCGATTTAAAACTAAACTCAATATGAATGAAACTGATCAACTAATTTGATTTTAAAATATTGTCCCATCGAAAGATTAACATTTTCAGTTTTGCAGGATTATGATTGAGATCAAATACTGATTTAGAACTATATACAACGTCAAAATCTTCGAATGTTCCTGTCATTCCTGTAGAATGCTCTCTAACTTGTTATTATGAATAGTTTACACAAAGACGTATTTAAAATTCATCTCTGTTTTTCTAATTTATCAGTTAATTTTACAATTAATGTTCTGCAATTCATATAAGAAATGTATTTAATATTTATTAATTTATTTATTTCTGATAAAACAAGTTTAAGGTATTTTTTTTTTTTTTTTTTTTTTTTTTAAGGGGGGAAAATCATCGAATGACTGCCCCCGCCTGGGTGAGGCGGGAGGGAGTGTCAGACTCTTACTGACTAAAAACCACCCCGTTCCTTCTCCTGCACGTCGAGCCGGAGCCCCGGTTACCCGTTAGGTTCTCCGCGACTCCGAATCGGCATCGGCCCTATTGGGCCCCATCTGTGGTGGTCTGATGGCTCTTTGAGGCGCGCGCGGAACGCGACGCGCCGTACGCTCGGGTCTGTTTCTGGTCGGACGGGGAGCCACCCATGCTCGCCGTCCGCAGGCCCGCGCTTACGGTGGCCGGAGATCGTCCCGCGATCCCCGACGCCCGGTGTGTCCTTCGCGATGGCTGGGTTGCGAGGAGGCAGCGCTTCGCTGCCTCACGCGTCCCGCCTCCTCCTTAGCTAGCATGACTGCTTCGCAAAAGGAGGAGACGGCATCCCAATCCCCCTCGCTCCGCATCATGGCCTGCACTAGGCCCGGACGCGAGAGGTCGCCATCGCCGATCACTTCCCTGAGGACACGGCGGTGCTCAGCCCACGAAGGGCATTCTCCCACCGTGTGTTCCACCGTGTCCTCAGGGCGGTCCTCGCAGTGATGACACCCGGGCGTTTCCTCCCGCCCCATCAGACACAGGTACCTCCCGAAACTTCCATGTCCGGTGAGGACCTGCGTCAGGCGGTAGGTGAGGACGCCGTAGCGTCTCTCAAGCCACTCCTCAAAGAGGGGACTTACCGCTGCGATGGCAGCGAGCCCAGCCCTCGGTTGCGACAGTCGTTGCTGCCATTCCGCCATGAGATCGCGCCGGAGCTCATCCCGCCACGCACCTATCTGGCGCGGCAGCGGGGTTTCGCCCCGGCGACGTGCCTCCGCGCGCATGCAGTACACGCGCGCGAGCACCTTCGCCTCCAGATCCCACGGCGGTAAGTTTAAGGTATAAATTGTATAGTTTATACAGTAAGTTGAAGCTAATCTTATGTTTAGGGTTTTAAGTGTTAAACGACACTTTTCGACTTATAATTTTTTGTTCAATAATTTAACTGATCGGTTGTAGATTCCCTTGTTTGTTTGGACATTTTTGTAATAAAAGATAATATTCTCAACAAAATTCGATGGAGTTACTCTACGGCTATAAAAAAAAACGCGGTAAAAAGCTAAAAGCCATGTAGCAAACTTTGCGGCTTAATGTTGGCAGTAGAAATATCGATTATTCCATGGGTTGGGTTGGAAAGTGTTTTGTCCTTGTCGCTCTTATACTTATTTCCAATTATCCTTGTCACTAACGGGATGGACGCCATTGACCTCGTTGAATCACTCTCTTCTGATTGGTCATTTATTTTGGAGGGGATCATTTTTTGCAAAAAAAGCCGCGTCTATTCACGTGCTGCCAACTTAACGACTGTTTCGCGCCGACTCATCACGCATTTCCTTTCTTTCTTCTGCATTTAGCATTCGAAGATAAAGGTCGCGTGTGGACCTTAGGTTTAAGTTTATTATTAAATAATTTAGCCTAAACATAAGTCATGGCCAATAACGACAACTTTGCACAAGATGTTACCGATAATCAACTAAATGGAAATGCCGAAAATGGTGGTGGCGATACGCAAGAACATAATAGTGCTGAAGCCCCTGGGCGTGATGATGACAGGTAAAGTTGGTTTTTTATATGTAGATAGCATTCCTAACAGTATTTCTATAATTGTGCATTATGTAAATTCATGTGTTAATCATTCAGACATTACGAATATCCATTTAATATTGAATTGCAATTTCTATGTGCGCGAGTCATAATGGCGGCGGTCTGCCATTATCCTTATCGGCGAAGCGCTGCCAATCTATATCAATCGTTACGATCTCTTCAAAATTACACATTTTCATCTTTACAGTGCGTTCTCTAGGATTTAATCTCAGACCCTGAAGTCATAGTTTTTATTTCAGAATATTTCCAGGCTATTTAAAAAATATAGATTATCTCCGAGCCGCATGAAGTAAAATGGCGTCTTATTTGCGCGTCTCTTTTGCACCCGGCACCGGCTCGGTTCAGTTATTGATTTTTGTTTGGTTCGTTGTTAGCACATTTGTGGTTCGTGAATGCCGGTGTTGAGCGGTTTCTAAGCTAGCGGTAAAGCGTACGTAGGTAGTTGCAAGATTTTAAATCGGTAGCGCTGAATGCGTCAGTGAGGGGTCGTCGCCCTCGCGGCGCGGCGCGTTGGTCAGTTTGGGGCGCTACTAACGCTGTGTCTCTCTGCAGGTGTGAGCCTGCGCCGCCGCCGCAGCTGCCGCCGAAGGACGTCATGGTATATATCAGCTGGGCTCACACTAAAGTAAAACTGACCAAACTGACTAGTTGTATCGGCCACTTAACTTTGGGCCTGGATCACCTTTGCCAATTTCAAATCTTGCGATATGATTGTAACATCTTGTTTTTCACATTTCGTTGTCCTGATTGATAATGTAAATTTCCAGACTTTACTTTTGTAACTTACAGGTTGTCAATTTGATTTGCTGCAGTGCTTGGAGTTTGTTTTGAAAAAATAGTAGCTGTAAAGTACTGTAAACAAGTACTGCATAGTGTTAATTGATAAATTTTAAGTCAGTTTCTAAATCGAGACCGTCTCAATTGTACATTTCTTCATGTATTAATCAAGTTACTATGTGTCCACAGAAAACTTTTTGTCGGAGGCCTGAGCTGGGAAACCACAGACAGTAAGTGTTTTTGTTTAGATCAATATTAGTACTATGTTTTAATTGTAAGCTCATTCATGATGACTTAATTCAGTTCTGCTTCTGATTGAACATTGAAGAAGCTTTTACCCACACTTCTGAGTATTTAACATTATTTAATCCCTAAGTATGATTTTGTAGAAATGAAGAGTTAATAAGTGTAATCTGTTTACAGAGGAGTTACGTGACCACTTCAGTGCGTATGGTGAGATTGAGAGCATCAATGTCAAGACTGATCCAAACACTGGCAGATCAAGAGGATTTGCCTTTATTGTGTTCAAGGCACCAGATTCAATAGACAAAGTGATGGCTGCTGGAGAGCACACTATTAACAACAAAAAAGTTGATCCGAAAAAAGCAAAGGCTAGACATGGAAAGATCTTTGTTGGTGGTCTTAGCAGTGAAATATCAGATGATGAGATCAAAAATTTCTTCAGTAATTTTGGAACAGTAAGTTTTATTTTTATGTGATAAAGATACTGTCACTGAAAACTAGTGATGACAAATCCGGTTTCGGTGAGATAATTGTTTCTAGACATTTATTGAAGAAAAATCCGGGCCACTGATAAATTCATGACTTATTTTTATAAATTTGAAATTACAATGTAATATTTATATTTGACTTTGTTTCCAGATAATTGAAGTTGAGATGCCCTTTGATAAAACCAAGAATCAGAGGAAGGGATTCTGCTTCATCACATTTGAGTCTGAGCAGGTGGTCAATGAGCTGTTGAAGACCCCTAAGCAGACCATTGGTGGCAAGGAGGTCAGTATGAATAAAAATTCAATTTATTTATTGCTGTTAAAAATGTTGAATAGTGGTACAAACAAAATGTATGATTGCAGGTTGATGTGAAGCGTGCGACACCTAAGCCAGATGGTCCTGGAGGAATGGGAGGACGTGGAGGTCGTGGCGGTCGTGGATTGCGAGGCGGTCGCGGTCGTGGCGGATACGGAGGCCAGGGCGCTTGGGGCAACGGAGGTTACGGCGGCTATGGCTACGGACAAGGAGGCTATGGCGGCGGCTACGACGGATACGGCTACGGCGGCTACGGTTACGACGGCTACGGGGGCTACGGCGGTTACGATTACTCTGGATATCCCAATTACGGTAAACGCGGCAAGCAGTACTAGTATAGTGGCGAGCCCCCGCTAGCCCGCTCACCGACACATTACCTCGACTGATGTTACCTGATCCTAGGATACGATGTGAAACGTAGTAGAGT